ATTATTTCAGTCACACAGTGACTGACGCTCCTCACCTGGACAACTGCTTGTCCGGTCAGACAAGATGGACAAGGAAATGTTTTCTCAGATGTCATCACAGGGCAGAGCCGGGTGAGAGCCAGTCTCCGGTGTGCTAGACAAATAAATAACCAAACACTGGGACCATGATAAAGGCCTGGGACAGCTCAGGTCTTGGTTCTGATACCTGCAGAAAGAGTTGTATGTTTGAGTCACATAGGGCTGAAGATGTGCAGACACCATTAAAATAAACATTCTTCCGTGATGCTAAACATGTGTGATGTGAAAATTGCCTTTAATTGTAGCTATACAGAAGCCTTTATACACTCACCTATGATAAACCAGGCTTTTCATAATAAAATATTATCCGTGTAGATACTAATCTGCGTGCAATGACAGCACAACACTTCGTTTATGTTTATCTGTGGAACACTGGAACAGGCATAGAGTGCGTTTCTCTAAAAGCTTTCATGAATGTTAATGGGAGGGAATATGGCTTGAAGACAAAACTTGTGCCTAGGAAAATATAGAAAAGGGAAGCCAATAAAGCATCATGTGGAAAATATTAGCTTGCTGGAAAACTCTTTATGGTTTGAATTAATTTTTAGTTCAGCAGCACTTGTTAAAACTATAAATAGATAAATAGTCTCTTGCTTTCCTACAGCTTTCTCCCTCTTATAGTGTGCTTTAGAAGTCTTCACATTCAGTGATTTTTATTTTATTATATTTAGCTATCACTGCAGGCTCTCTTTCAGAGAACTACTTTGATATCAGGCTGCTTTATCTCAGTTCCTAGTGTGATAAAAGCCAATTTAGAGTCACTTTCTTTATACAAAACAATGGAAAGTACAAGATATTTTGATGATAATAGCATCTTTAAAAAAGGATGACCATCTGCCTTTATTCACTTCTCCTGCTTTCGGTGTCCTTTCCAGCTCTACTTTCCCTATGGAAAGATGAAATCACTGAGATCATTTTCAGTCCTGTCAGCTGCGAAGATGTGGTAACCGTGTTATAAGACAAGCATATGGCTGGGTCTTAAGGGCTTTTTCAAACTGGGAATTCAAATATAGGCTGCCAAGTTGTGTACAGGAGCATCTGCCATTTCGGTTCCCCGTCACAACGCCTCCCTGCACCACCAGGAAGCCTGAGCTGGTGCCTGCTCTTTTCCAGGTTGGCGTTTCATGGCAAGAGCAGGCCACAAAAATGCAGAGCTGCGTATCTGAAGGCTTAACTTTAGGCTCTGGAATTTGAAGGTCTTGGGAATACTCTGGGAAAGATGAGACTCACCCATCTGGAGGATCACAGCAGAAACCCAATTGCAAGCTGCAGGGTGAACTTGGAGGGACCTGGGTGTTGAGCAGTCTCTCCAGGTGGACCAGGAAGCAATTATTTTGAGCTACGCTTTGAGCCCACAGGCTGAGCAATGCCATTCTATAAATCTGATTTATTTTTACACATTTCCTGCCAAAACTGTTGTCTAGTAGGCCCAGTGTCTCTGTGTCTTGCTTTGTTTGTGATCTCTCGGCTTAGATGGCTTAGCCTCTGAGGAGCGTTGAGCAGGAATTGCCCCTATACACGGGGGCCTAACTGAGCCAGTGATTGCACCTGCTCCTCCTATCTAGCCAGAATGTGTCTCCAACTTCAACCACTCGATTTTTCTGCTGCACAGTGCTGCTGCCTCCTGTCTTTTGTGACAAATGCCTTAATTTGCGTCTACAAGCTGTTAGGAAAGCTCTGGGGCTGACAGAAGCCACAGGGCAGCTCAGGCTGGCCCTGGGAGCAAAGGCAAGGGCAGGGCACCACGGGGAGTGGATTCACTGCCCTGCAGTCTGTCACCTTTCCAAGATGCAAAAACTGAGGAAAACGGCATCAGAAAGGCATTTAGCTCAAAGGGACAAATTGGTTTTTGTTGCAAGTAGAGGATTTCATGGCCCTCATGGAGAAGCGGGATTGCAAAATGTAATTCAAATTGTCCTGATTATTTTCCCTTTTCCATGGACACCAGTGCATCCAATGCACTGGAATGGTGACATCCTTAGCTATGCCTGTGAAACAGCCCCGTATTAAGAGTGACCAAAGTGGGGAGCAACTACCCGAGCTGCATCTGATGGCTCACGTTGGAGGTTGACTCCTTCCATTTGACCTTGAAGCATGATGACATTCTGGTAGTGGTGTGGCCTTGCCCATGCCTTCCTTCTACTGGTGGCTGTGAAAAAGTTAAGTCTGTGCTTAAGACAAAATATTGCCAAAGGAATTTGCAGTTAACCACTTACTTCCTCATCAGTCCCTAATACAGGAAATACTGGTATATTTAGAGCTCAATAAGGCATTTTTCTTTTCCCCCCAGGTAATCAGCACAGTCTTGACAAACCTTCCCATGAAAATGTTTGTGTGGAGACAATTATTTTGGTTCAAAAGGTACATGGCACTTGTGGCTAAAATCACTGTCAATCACAATTTTTTATATAGTGATACTTACTTTTTGCCTGGTTTTTTTTTTCGTTTGCTAGGATTATTTTGTGTTTTTTTTGTTTAATTTTTATTTTAAAGCAAGGCCCCCAAAACCTTTATCAAAACAAAGACTGACCATTTTTATATACTTTTTGTTTTAAAGCAAAACATGCCCCCCATGCCAGGAAGTTATCTTACCTGTTCTAATCATATGGAACTTGCCCTGAAAATCAGAGAGGGCAGAGTAATACAGAAAGATCTGTGGAGGTACAGGAAGTTGGATTTATTGCTATTTGTGAAGCCATTTAACACTGTTCAGAGCAATTTTAGCTGGTCAACACCCCATTGGTGAATCTCAAAATATCTGCCATGTTTATCTGAGACAGCCTTCTGGAACATACCTTCATTGTTCTTACCTAGCATTTGCTCTTACCCCCATTTTAAAACTTTAGTCATTTACTACAGGAGCCAAAGCCCTTCTCCCCCCACCCCATGTACTGAAAGACCAACTAATAAGCAGGGAAGTAAACAACTCCTGAAGTACTTCCTTTGCCTAAGCTAGGAAGTTGAATAGGAACCACACTCCTAGCAATTGGAATTACTCTGGAAACATGCCCTGAACAGACTTAAAGCTGCAGCCATTGTAATCAAGAGAGTGACAGATAAGAAAGTAATGTTGGCAAGTAACCCTCCCACATGAACTATTTTAAACTTGAAGATTACTGAAATGAGACTTTTAATAAACATGAAATGAAAACAGTCCCAGTAGCTGGATTAAAAAAAATAGACAACAGTCTTGACTCACGCATCTAACACTGGCTGGAAAAAGATGGGTTTCAAATATATTGTTGTTAGGTACAAATGACTAAAGAGTACCAAAAATAATTTTTCAAAAATAGATCTTTATTAGCAGTCTGGGTTAGAGAACTGGATGTTCACTGTGACTCGGGTTTTCCATTGAGAAGAATAAAAAATTCCAGGTGTTCACAGGTTACAAGTTAAAAAATATGGAATTACATTACCAACAGGAAATTGAGTTACAGTGGCTAATAGGATAAGTGTTGCAAGTTAGACATTAGAAGAGGGATATGAACCCAATTTACTGGGCAAATTAACTTTGTTAGAACACTTGAGCTGGTGCAAAGATAACAGTGCCTTTAGGAGACAAACTGCCTGCCTTGCTTGTGTAATCTGGTGTTTCTCTAATGATTAAAGTTCTTTAGGCAAGCTTTTTCACCAGCCTAAGGGAGCCAAAAGACATTGATAAATGTGCAAGAGAGAGAGAATGAAAACGGGACTTAATGCCCTAAGTCTCCATATCTTAATACTTGCTGAAGCAGTTCTGGTTCTTGTGCTCTTTGTAAGTAAAATTGCTAAAAATTGTGCTTCTCCATGACATGGATGCCACTGATTTACAAATGGAGCTAAATAGAGTTTTCAGGACTTGAATAGCAAGCCCAAAGAATCCCTTAAAAAATAATGGCCTGGAAAGCAAAGTAGCAGATAGAGACTGACCAAATTGAAGGAGAGCTGAAGCCTTTCAGCAGTGTCCATCTGAGGCAGTTCAGATACGGACTGAAATGCATTTGGCAGGATCCCTTTCCTTTTTGATAACGAGCTGTACTCTGGTTCACCTTGTGCCCAAGGATTTCACAGTGCTTGATACAAGTAAGGTGAATGGTGTTCAGTGCCTGACTGCATCCAGACAAGGGGATCTTAACACGCTTGTTAGTCCAGAAAGTCTTCTGCTATTTCCAGAACTGTTCAATGTGAGAAAGGGGGATGGACTTAAATGATGTACCGAAGGTCATGCTGCAAATTAGTAGCAAGTTGGGAAGCACCTCACAAACAGTCCCCTCCTGGGATCGTGGGGCTGATCTGTCTACCTGAAAATAAAAGCAAGCCAGACCTCTCTGCAGTGATCAATTTAAGCCAATTTGTATTGAACAATTTGCTATGAGATTCAATTAAAAAAAAAAAGAAAGAAAGAAAAACCTTGTAAAGCTAGACTAAACTGTGTTAACAGCATAGCAGTCGTTCTTTGATGTGATGCTTTAGAGGAGCTGAGGCAGAATGTGCTGTTTCTGTGCAGTTTAATAAAAATAAGGCTGTGAAACATCTTCTGATGCAAAAATCCAAGACTCTCATCAACATCGAACACTGAACCTTAAAATCACCAGACCTGAATGCATGCAGATGAGCTGTAGTCATTAATTCTAACAGCATCTCTGCCCATTTACACCAGCTAAATATCTAGCCTAACATTCAATATAAGCAATTTTCTTGTCCCTTCCCAATTAGCTCCGTTACAGAAAATCTAATTAAATCATATCTTTTAGCAGGAACCAAGAATTCAAGAACTACATTTTTTCACTTAATTAAAAGCTCGACGTCTTGAACTGTTAATTTTCTGAAAAAGATATCCAGTATTTCTTCCTCTGATCCACTTTGGTTACTCAATGAAATGGCTCATTTACTCTGAGTTAGCTCTTGAACTGTACACTTAGGCTCCAACTCTTGTGAAGAGCTTAGAAGATGATAGGAATCATAGCTGCTTTTCTCCGCACCTCTGGATAAAATCTCTTCAGGTACAGCTTGTGTTTCTTTTGGGCCCAGAGAGACATCTGGATGACCATCAGGAAAGCAAAAATGCCAACTACCAAGGAAAAAGGAAAAAAAAAAAAAAAAAAAGATCACGTGTCTTCTTTCAGTATCTGTTTCTGTGAACACAAGAGGGTTTATGGAAAAGTCTGCAGTCTCTTCTGTGGGCAGAGACAAGTTAACTCTGCCCTTGCTCTCAGCCTTGCAGTTGCTGATATACCATAGCCTGAGGCTCAGCCTCCACATCAGAATTCACACGGGTGATGTTCACATCTGCTAGACACACCCTCTATCACCTGTGACTTCACCATAAATCACAAGGCCTCCTTGGGCACGGTGCCGTCTCAACACAGAATTACTCAGGGCCTCTGTCGACTATTTTTCTGGTTTGCTTTTGGCCTATAACACTTCTTTGTTTTTACCTCTGGCTCCCAGTCATAACAGGGAGCTGTGCCGTAACTTCCTGTTGCATGGAGGGAGAGCTTGGCCCTGGAGCAAGGAGGCAGTAGGTGCACAAACAGATTTAGCTGCCTGGCAGCAAGGTCTCGCAAAGCCTAGCAACTATAGCTGCCCAGGCCCCTGCTGTGGTTGTGAGGAGCCAGTAAGTGGTCTCTCGGGTACCTCTCCCTTCGGGCTCAGTGGCACCAAATGGCGAGTGTTTTAACAGGTGATTTTTGCAAAGTCATTATCCTGTCTTCCTTAAAATGACCTGGTGGATCAGAAACATTCATTCAGCATCTGGTCAAGTTATGTTTGGGACAATTACAGCAAGGAGGAGCGTGCTGCATATGTTGCTGCTCCCTGCCCTCGTAAACACAGATCTACAATGTCCCCAAACTTTCAGGTCATTTCCATACCAGAGCCTAAAGCACAAAAAATGTTATATCTTTTCAAACAAAAGTAAAAGTTTAATTTTCACATGATGCAGTTTAATCTACTTTTGAAATTCCTTTCTTTTTGATTTGTAAACCATGTGGGGCTACTTTTTGCAAGTAGCTTTTACAGGTTTCTCTTTCGGAATGGAAAAATAATTAAAAAGTCAATGTTTTGGAGAGCTCAGTCCCAGGGACCATACTTGCATGGGTATTTAAGTCTCTAAGGATGCAGGAAAGTACTGAGCAAGAGTTGCAAACGCTACTAAGCAGGCTGCAGTTTCAAGCTGGCTGCCTGATATAAGCAAACAGGGAAATGCTACCAGGAATATGTGTGTCTTTCCTCTTTTGAAATACTAAGTACATCTGTTTTCCTCTCCCTATTAGAAGTATTATTGCAAGTTTACAATGCAAAGAAGTTTTTCTATATCAAAAATGATTGACTGTAAATGAAGAATACTGGCTTCTTGTTTATTCTAAATTTCAAACTTTGTTTTCACTGTGGAAACAGAAGAAACAGTATTTCACAAAAAGCAGAGAGCTGGTTTTTATCAAAAGAAGGTGTTGCAGTAGTGTTCGTGCTCTCTGCAGCTTTCTGAGGGTAGCACTTTGAAGGTTTACACAGTCATGTCACAGGGGGGATTTGATGGCAATATTTCATATGCCACAAATTTTTTGGCAAATTTTAAATTTCCAGAATTCACTTCTGCAAACAACAATTTAGAGGCTATCTCCATTCTGTTTCAAACTTACCTGGCAGGGTTTGTGTCATCACTGTGAAACTAATCCAAGATCCAACCTGTTGCAAAGAAAAAGGCACTGTTAATTGTATACTTTCTGTAAAGCAAAAGGGCAAGTTTTCAAAAGTGACCACTTCCCCAAAAGCTCCCCCTGCAAGAAAAGCATGATACTCATACTGCAAAAATAGCTAGAAAGGGACCCCCCAGTGTGCTGGATGGGGGTGAAGAGTTGGGTGGTAAATCCTTGGATCATTGGGGAGTCTGCAGTGGAGGGGAATATTCACGAAAGTCGTGATATTGATGTGAAGGAAGAGAAGGGTCTGGTGGAGACATATTCGTGGGACCAAGAAGACTCTGACATACAGAACATAATGATTGATATGCAGAAGGAACTGCATGGAGGCATCGCAGATTTTCTGCAGGCAAAGGCTGAAACACAGTAACCACCTACCCTTTGCATATAAGCAGAAGAAAGTCATGTACCTCATACGTATAGTTGGGACAGGATACCAGCAAGAAAAGCCATGTGAAGGGGTTGTAGGTTGGACTTGGAAAACAGGCTTTACTTCCTTTATGAAAGAAGAAAAAAAAAGAAGGAAGGGGGAAAAAAAAACCGAACAGACAAAACCAGTTTCAATACAGGGAGGGGAACTGAGCCTTATCACAGCTTGCCTATGTAACAGCCATCCCCTTGGCCAATGCTCCCAGAGTACAACTTGTTAAAAAAGTTTCAAATCTTTTGAGACAGCAAAAGCTGTATTTATCCTAGTGAGAATGCTGCTTAGCGAGCCATGTATCAGTTTTTACAGGAAAGGTCTGGCATGTCCAAAGGATGCAACCTTTGTTCAGAGGAAGAGAGAGACAAGTAGTTTAATGAGGACTATCCGGCAGGCGAGGGCTAAAGGGCACTCTTCTGGGATATAAACATGCAGTTGTATCTTATTCAGCCTGACTCAGGAATGTGAACCTGTCCCCTCTCACACCCTCATCCTTCATCCCAGGGTAGCACAGGAAAACAACTCCAGAGCTAACAGCATGACTTGCTACAGCCTCTGATAATGCTCATACAAAATGCCACATATGCAACACTTCATTTTTAAGTTGTGGGAACAATGCCTGAATTAGGCCCCTTGCAACAAACATCATAAGCACCTGCTTAACCACAGCATGTCAAACGCTTTCCGGAACAGAAACTTACTTCACTGCATGAAGTTGATCATACCGTGGTGAAGTATTTTCTTTAACAGGGCGTTATAGTGCAAAATTATACTATTATTAACTGAAAATATATTTTACTTTCTACTATATATAGTATAACTTTTATTCTCATGGTACAAAAGACCCTGAAAACCCATGCTTGGAGCAACCTTTTAAGAGCATACATATACATTGATGCCTGTGCAGGTATTCATGAGTCTATCTTTGTTTATTTGTATATGTATGTGTGTGTATCTCTGCATGAGATGCACGTATCTAAAATCTCTGCAATCTAGTTTAAAAGTTTTTGAAAATTATTTAAAATGGAATCCTCTGTTGTCAGTCAACAAGATGCTTTAGAGAACTTCCATGCTTAAATCCATATTTAAATTGCAGTTGTGTATAATTAAGATAAATTTGCTATAAGCTTTGGAACAACAGCAGTCTTGCTAATGTTTCCTTGTCACCACATTTATTTTGAAGATGTTATACCGATGGCATGGTACCTACTTCATCTTTCTTTATTCTGTGGATGTAGATACATAAATTACTGTATACCAGCAGAAGATGGATAGGTTAAGCACACTTCCGTCTTAAGTAGACAAACAGGGAACAAAGACAGACCTGAATGATTTTGGTGAGCTAAAGCTACGTTGATAAAGTGATTTCCAGCTTCACACATCTGCAAGACATTAAAAATATATTTTCAGTTGTATGCCTAAAATGCTGCGGTAACTGCGTTGCAGTGCATAACCAGAATCGCCCCGTTACAGCTTAGTCTCTGTATCCAGAAAATATGTACTCCAAAATGACTCTCCCATGGGAATTACATTCTGTGGTCTTTGTCAAATGCACAAGTGTCTAGTGAGCACCGTGGGCGCAGCCTGAGGTGAAAGCCCATGTTTCAGCTCCGTAGAGCTCAGTGCAGGCAGGCCTTCAGTGCGGTTCCCGCGCCCAGCATGTGCAACATGCTTTGGTCTGGGGAGATCAGAGAGGTTCCCTGGGGTCTAAGGAATTTAGCAAGATACTTTTCTGAACGGAACATCATTGTCAGAATTTGGATTTAATCCAGCCTGCAAAGAAGCAGGTGAAAAGTTGACTACTGGTTTTGTAAAAATGTAATGCGTTAATGTGCCTACCCTCTTCCTACACACACTTTCAAAGGTGTTCAGCGTAACGCCTTTGTTACGCTGGTTACAGAGCACAGTAACCAGTTCTCTGGGTAAGTCATAGAGGAAGGAAAAATATGAACGAATAAACAGGTGAATAAACAGGCAGCAGTTCTCTGAAGGGCAGACTGGTCAAATGGATAGTAGTCAGGAACTGATAAGTGAAGGGAGCCAGTATTATTCCTGGTTCTGCCACTCTCTGGTTATGCCATTTCCAGCCCTAACCAACCTCTTCAAACTTGGTCTTTAATATTTAGATGGTTTAAATCTTTGGAAGAGGTACCATGTCTCCCCACTTGGTTATACAGCATGTAGTACAAGGTGATTTCAGATTTGCTTGTGGCTTTCAGTCCTTCATCAATTACAACCACTGTAGAATCAGAACTAATTACTACCCATATTTAAAGTGGGAACTGGTAGGAAAACCAGTTTCAGTTCCTGAAAAAGAAAGCCTGTCACTACAACAATCTAATTTGATGTTTTTCATTTTTCCCCTGTTTTACAAAGAAAACTAAAATGCTGTATATATTTCTCTCTTGGACCGACTTGAACTTTTTTATTCATTTCTGGGTTTGAAGACTCATTTCTCCTCTCAAATTGAAAAAAATGTATTGTTAAAAAGTTGTGTTTTCTCATATCATTTGTTATTCTAAATTTTGCAAAGCTGGAAAAAATTAAGAAATTAAAATACAAAGGAAGAGCGCTAAAACCTAGAGAAGTTAAAAGTGTAAAGTCACAAAATTAATAAAGAAAAAGAAGAAATACGATTGTAATTTTTAAAGTCAATTCTGAAAGTCAGCCATAACAAACTTCAGTTAAAACTAATTGAAAGGAATATGTAACTTCATTTTATATTGAAATGTGCCGTTATCTGAAAGAACATTGTAGATAGCAGTGCTGAAGAATTTTCCCCTTTTTTGGCAGGGAGATTTCTGTGGCTTTTGTTAGGAAAGTTTAAATCAGTTCTATTAGCAAAGCTGTTATTCTGCATGGATATGTAGACATGGGTCAAATCCTGCAGTCCTTTTATGATTTTTAATTACAACTAGCTGGCTGTCATCTATCATAAACACCAGATGTAAAACACTAAATAGCCAGAAAAGGAAATTCTATTATAAAATGTCATATCAGAAGCTATAATTCTAGCCACAGCAATAGAACTAATTTTAATTTACGTACTTCCAATTATGAGCTAGGAACATGATTGTTTCTGATTACTATTATTTTAAAGAAGAAAGTTTCAAAGTTAAAAGTTAAAAGAAACCCTATACATACTGAAATGTGCAATCCCCTTACTATTGTGCAACAAGAGATTCACACACCATAGTTAACACCTACTAATTTTATAATCAATTCATTCTAAGTAAAACAAGCAAAGGGCATTTCTGCAGGGATTTTTATTGGCTTACCTTTGACTCTGCAGCTGCATTCTGCTATAATTGGTTCTTATGTCCCTCTTTAGAAATGTGGCTGCTAATGCTCTATATCGAGAAATACTGCTAAATGTAAGCTAGTCCTTAGTGTCTCAGATATAAAATATGGGGCAGCAGGGAGTGGGGAACAGCAGAAAAAACCCCATATTTATGATGATAAAATATTGAAGTCTACATACTGTTCCACCTCTTTATATTCCATGTGCACCCTATGAGAAAAATGTCCCTGCAAAGCTTAGAGTAATTTCTCTAAATACGAGAACCTTTCAGAAGGGCCTGCTGACACTCTTCAAATTACTCAGTACTGTTTACAGCAGCTGCAGATGTATACACTTAAATCGGGATATGTAATAAAGACAAGCCTTAAAAGAGGGGAAAAAAAGAAATCGTCCAAATATTTTATTCACTTGTTTTAGAAACCTGTGAAAACAGCTTAAAATTATTTTATTTTGTATGTTGCTGTTTTAAATTCATTGGCTGGGAACCTGCCAGAACAAGGTCTGAAAGGGAAAGGTTTTGAGTTTCCATGGGTAGGAAGTTCTCAAAAGAGCTGCAAGAATTCAGGCCACAAACCAGGTGATCTGCTGATGCAGATCTGAAGGCAAATACCCCCAACAAGACTCATCTCTCTGCTTGATGGCAGCATTTTCCATAAAAGCTATAGCAGGGCATGTTACATTGAAGAAAGGAAGGATGTTTCATTAGAAAGGAGGCTTCTTCTATGCAGAGATTTTGAGGAGGACTATTTTTACTGGTAGCACTGAATATTCAGGCAAGCGGTTTGCTTGTTTTCAAGTAACCCCTGAGCTTGGGAAGGGCGTAGACAGTAAGGCTCTGGGCACACCACTGCCTACTGCTGCCACAACCTCCTGTCTCCACAGTGCAAGATTATTGCTTTTGGCAGTAGAGTGTAATTGAGTGCGTGAACTTCTTCATATGAGTATTTTGCTTGTCTTTGCTATACCTTGTTAGGGCAGCAAAAGCTGAGAACTGCATGGTCAACCCCCGGAGACAAATACTGCCAAAACTGTGATCTTTAAGGGTCCCAATTTACAAAAGCATTTAAAAATTGCTAAAGAGTCATTTGAACACTTTTCTGAATAGTGTTTGCCTGCAGGAGCCTAGACACATTACTGTCCCATCTTCCTGTTATATTTCTGGAAACTGATCTGTATCTGATTTTCAAAGAGCTGACTATTCTGGCTACTGACCCATGCTTGCTTGGGTAAGTCAACACTCATCATTTCCAAGTGCAATGCCCACACAGGATGGAAAAGAATATCCATTTCCATGTAAGAATTTCTTACTGAGCCTCTGTCTCACTATATGATTATGTTCATTCAAACATCAGGTTTGGTAGTCTCAGTCATCCTTCATCACCTGCACTTTCCCTTGGCTTAACCCACTTTGTCAAGGATTGTTTTTATTGGTTTTAACAGCTGTTGAGGTTAAGTTATTCAGGGCACACAGTACTAGTGCAAAATCTGCTTATGATGTAATTCTTCAGTGTTTTAAAAATGCCAAGTTCCAATCTGTCTAAATATTAGTGTTTTTACACAATCATGAGTAGTTATAATGCTGATGATGTTCTCATGGCTCTCAGATACAGTACTTCACATTAAGCTCTGTATAGGTAAATAGTACTAGGAGACTTCCTGGCCTAGAAACCTCAATAGATTATCACTAAATCCAGTCAAAGGACACAGGGCTGTGGATGTGGACATATATAAATGTACACACAAATGCATAGCAGCATTACTGCATTTTGCTAAATCGTGATTTACTCCTATTTCACAATCATTAATAAAACTTCATTTTTGTACATACCAGGAAAGCAAGGGCAGCAAAAGAAACTTGTCTGTGGCCAAATGCTAGAAAATAGAATGAAATTGTAAATTGCATTTTACAGTATGCACACGGTTTGCTATGGGTGAAATTAACCTAGTGCTGAGGAGCAGAAATACTTCTTTCCTGACAGGCTCTGCAGAAAGAATGGATATTATCACACACAATATGAAGACAACGCAAATTTTAACAGCACTCTAGAAATGCCAGTCTCTTCACCACTGATCTCAATGCAGTTTTCACCTAACTTTTTCTAGTATATGTCAGCTTCATATATCCAAGTGCTTTGTCAAAGCAGTTGGTGGTGTTAAATTCCTTGGAAAGGCAAGGGGAGGGATGAAGTGAAGGTCAGTGGCAGAACCAGGCCAGGAATCACAGCCTTATCCATAGGCCCTTCCTTCTATCTCCAGGAGCAGAGAACCCAAGACATAACCTATCCATTACTTTTTTTTTAGTAGTGAGGCTTTACTATATAGCCACTATCTGCTTCACAGTCTCACCATGCAAGAAATATATTTAGCCTTTGCAATTTTTGCCTGCCCTCTCCTTTTTGCTGTTGTCCCCAGACCACTGTAGTGCTGTATCATGTTCTCCAAAAGTTTACAGTTCTTGAGTAAACCTTGGTCACAGCAGAGGGACACAAACCACATGTATGTACCTCACTTCCCTGACCAAGTCTCATCGAGCCTGTACTTTTGAGAACCCTTTTTCTCTGGCTGACACACTGTGGTGCTAAGGGCATGCACTAAAATTCTTCCTCAGGACAACCAGTACATGTCAACATGTGTGTATGTAGCTGCTAAGCAGATGTTCTTCATGGGTCTTTTGTCAGCCTGGTTTAATTTACCACTCCTGCATAGCATTCTGTAAGTACTCGCTTGCCTTTCTTTATCTGTCCCCAAACCAGCCGTCTCTGGATATGGCTGTGGAGGTCACCTGCTCCTGTATCCAAAATAAACCATCAGTGTTTTACTGATCCAGTTAACTAACACCAGAGGGCTGGTGATCTTCAGCATTAGACCCATGTACTGATAATTGTCATTTTAAGGCAGTGGCAAGCAATTAGAAGTACTCCTTCTGAATGCTTTCTCTGTTGGAAAGCTGTGTCTTGAACAAATGGTTTCCTCTATAAAGAAGCTGCACCTACTGATCTGATGGCCCAGACTGCTAAAAATTGTGTCTAGGGAGTTTTCAACATTGTTTGCAGCATTACTGTTAAAGACACATCAAATTCAACTGCCTTTCAATGAATCACATCATATTGAAACAGAACTTTTGTATTATTTTGAAAGAAAAGCAAGTCCCATGTAGGAGAAATTTTTGATTGGAAAAAAATCTGTAATTTAACTGAGTGTAAATAAAAATCGCAAAGCAAACCCTTTGTTCCCAAAGCTCATAGATAAGTATAAGATGCAGAGGAAAAGAAAGACTGTAACAAGGGAAGTAAATTAAAAGGAAACAAATTTTATGACAATTATGCTCAAAAGAAGAAAAAGTTCAAAGAGCAAGCAAGAAGAAAAAAAAATCACGAAGAAACAGCAGTGCAACAATACAATACAATGAGAGGAAACAAAATGATGAATGAAATCTGGAAGCAAAAAGCATAGGATTTTTTTCATTTTTATCAGCAGTGTCTGATCAACTTCTACTGATTTTCACACACACAAAAAAATCTTAATGTTCATAAAAAGGATGTACCTTTAGCAAATAAATATCTCCTCCAAGAAAATGCAGCCAGCTCTAGCTCTCACCTGCATTCTTAATACAAATATTGTGAAGATGAGCAACATATATTGATCTTTGTGTTTCCTCCACTTGGCCAATATTTCTAGTTCATAAAACTGGACAGTGATTGACCATTGCTGAACAGGAACGTACGTTCAGTGGCACAGCAGGAGTGCCTCCATGCAACAACCTTCCTTCTGACGGGGAGTAAAGGCTAATCTCTGGCTAGATTAGTCACATGATCTCATGTGGGGGCCACCTATCGATTTTGGAGGACTTAAGATTGCATACCAAAAACTTTTTAAAACCAAGGTCAGTTTTGTGTTCTACTTATACATACATGGTGGTGTATATCGTGGATGGTTGATGTAGTATGCAATCCAGGAAGTGAATCCCCAGTAAAAGGCACAGCCCTGGAACAGACAAAAGATACTTTTTTGTGTTAGAAAGGGTGATAAGCAAGTACAAACCATAACTTTATAAATATAAACTCTGGTAAGTGCAAAACCCAGATGACCATTGAAAGACTTTGCAGTGGCTTCTTGAGTCACAGAGTATAGATGTTTTTAAGATGCTGTGAAACCACTTAAAAAAATAAACAAAAAAGGGGTCACAGTGTAGATTTTTTTGATTGTGTTGAATGTGGTTTATGCCTGTTCTAGGAATTGACGTTTGTTTTCTCCTTATTTGATTCTACCGCTGAAGGGCACATTTCTCTGAGTTGTACTATTAAAAGGCTAGGGCTGGTTAAAACAGCTGAGCTGTTACTATACCTTAAACTCAGCATTTCTAAGCAAGACAGAGCTAGCCAAACAGAATGCTAAACCAGCTGAGACAGTAAAGAGTAAAACTGAATAGGCCTGGTTTAACCCTGGCAAAAAAAAGGCACGCAGTTCCTATAAAGATATTTGAGCTACATACTGCATCTACTCCTATGGATTCAGCCCCACTTCATCCTCTTGTTAAAAAGCAGCACCCCAGCTGCCTTTGCTTGGTGACTGAAGCCATGGGCTTGGGAAAGCCCAAGCAGAGATAATGTGATCATGTTCTTGTCCTGTGTAGGGGTCACTGCTCCCGTCCTTTGTACAAGGGAAAACCAAAACCCACCAGCCAAACAACTGAAACCACCCTGGAGACTGGATAAAGCCTTTCTACGTGTCTAAGTTAAGGGTCCCATGCTCAGTACCCTCTCAGGAAGAGCAGTGTGCTGGGACTGGCTACAGCTCCATCCTATAAGTAGGGCTGTAAGTCAGGGTTTCTTTTTTTAATCTTTTTATGCAATGCCACTGCGGTACATGTATCACAGACATGAGAAGACAACAGTAACTGTGGGTCTTTAACTCCCACATACATGAATCACTTAGGAAATAGCACTCTGGTTCCAAAGCCGTTTAGCTTACACTCCTCTGTTTTTTTTTTTTTAAAACACTGGGTATTGTAAAACACCTCTAGCTGTGCATCTCGTTACCTCCTTTCTGACTGGAATCAAGTTGAGCCCCATATCATGGCCATACGTTTCTCTCCTTCACTAAAATCTTAAATGTACTGCAAAACTTTTAAAGGGAGGGTCTTTACATCACTCTGGATGGGATGGGGGGTGGGGTGACACAAAATGACCAAGATTGAGTATGTGAAATAAAAGAAAGGAGAGCCTATGAGTAACGACACATGGTCAAAATTCCGGAGGCTTTGGGAGATAGAAGACTTTAGGCTAGTTCAGTATCTTCCTTCCTGATGCCTCCACCTATAGAAGGAGAATTTTTTTCTTTTCTACTTGTAATTTGATTTTAGCTTCCTAATGAAAAGTCTGCCTTTTGCTCTCTATTTATATTGCACTGAGGACATGGAGTGTGATTTCTGTCAGTATTGCTAGATGTTGCAGCAGCATATCTCATAATAAAATAGCATTCAGTCTGAAAAATATCCTGGACATGGCAATCAGCCCTTTGGGTGGATAAGTCAAAGTGGACATTGACATGCAGGAACTAAAATCGGCATTGATTTCAGTTCATGTCCTTGGGGACATGGCCCTGAAATTCTTCCTATATTTGTATTTTGACTAATCATAATTCCTGAAGCTAGAAAATGAATTATTTTTTATTTTCCTATCTTCTTCCAAGGACTGTTTTGATATGAGGATATTCTCTCTTACACAAGATGATAAACATATTGTCACCTTTATCATATTTTTCAGAGGCGTGTGCCCTCCTGAAAACTTGTGAACAAATAATGTCTCCAGAAGATGTCTGATGTAGTGTAAACAATGGCAGAAGCAGGCCAAACTGGAAGGGAAAAAAAAAAGGAAATTAAGGTAAGTGAAAGATTGCTTTTTATTACTTCACAGTTTAATGTCGCAAAAGGAATAAGGACTAATATTCCAAAACTGCAGAGTGACACTGAAATTGTGGGATTTAAGATACTGTCTTAATTGAAGCATCTGGAACCAAAGATTAATGGAATCATTTTCAGTCTTATACAAAGTTGCTTTCATTTTGCAGGGAAGCAACTTATTTTTACTAGCCTTGAATTAAAAAGAGCTCCTCGAGCTCTGAATGTGATACATAGCCCTGACAAGACATTTTTAACAGGACAGCTGTGTATACAAGCAGGCGTCTGCTGTGCTTTTCCAAAAGATGTCTCCCATGTTTTAAGGCCACCTTAATGCTCCTGTAGGATGTGTCTGACATTTAAAAACACTCTGAATATCTTCTGAATGGTTTCCTTGTCCTTTGCCAACTCAAGTAGCTGCATGGAGGTAGTTTGTATTTCATCTCCTTGTGGACTCAAAATGAGATTTTGTGGCAAAGTTAATCCATTCTGATGGCTTTTTTGTTGCCCATTACAAAGAAATGAGGTAATTGTTGTAGAAATTATTATACTGATTCTCTTTTGAGGAAGATTATGAAACAATAACAGGCGTTGCTGATTCACTTCCGAGAATGAGTTGCAGCTCATAGAGATTGAGTTTCAGAAACAAATGTCAAGAGTCATTCCTTGTGGCATTTTATCTTGGTTACATATATCATACTACCAGAGTCCGTCTCACTGCAAACCAATTATAAGACATAAATGAAGAGTGGTTTTCAGCATGTGAAATCTCAAATACTTTTATTATGCATCTTGTATGGTAGCCAGAGTCAAAGATTAAACAATTTCAAAGTAATTAAACCAGAGAGAGTTGGGCTAAGAAAATTTCAAACAAATAATGACTTATCTGAAGTCTGGAGCAAATTTCCAGCTTTGCTGGGAATTTTAAAATTAATTTGGCTTAGGATGGGGACCTCAGATGAACCTGTTAAGAAGTAGTCACTGAAAGGATTCTGCACATCCCTTGCCCACTTAAACGAAGGTAAAGGTATTGCTGGCTCTTCTGTGCTACTAGAAAATCTCTCCTTTGAAGTGTATGAGCAAGAGAAGGAAGGTAAACATCTTGCAGCTCTGGATTTGAATTCAGCATTCTGTGTTCTCATTCCAAGCTCCACTAACTCCCTTAATGTCTCTCCAAGTCTCTGTTCCTCCATCTGTAAATGGTATTATTACTCACTGTGTTTCTCTGCTGTATACCAGCTCCCTTGATTCTGCAATCATAGTGTGGAAAAAGTGCTTTGGAAAACCTGTACAGTCCCTTGAGACTCCTGGTTCCCTGTGTGCCCTCCCACTTCCAGCGCTCCAACTGATGCAGCCACTAGGCTTTCCCTGATCACATTCCACCCCTCTGGCAGGCACTAATCCCCCAGAATAGGGACAATCACACTGCAGAGAAGTAAGTTCCTTAGGTGTGAAAGTTCCCATCCCGCCTGGTGCATTACCCACCATCCTGTGGAGGGGTGGTGGCAGTGCCTTGAGCCTCTCTGGCAGTTATCTTGCGTAGCTGCTTGCCACGTTCTTGTCTGTAACAGTTCTTAATCCCTCCCATTGATCAGGTCTGCTTTGTTTCTTTCAGAGTCCTTCACAAAGCTTGGGAATGGCAGGGACTTTTGAAGGTCGTAAAAAGCTATCTTGGTTGGCTGTTCTCTCTTCATTGCTTTTTGGCATGCTCTTGAGTACAGACTAAGCAGAGTGCACTTCCTTGTGGTCAGGTCCTGCTGTATTATATCGGAGCTGTTTAATTTTCCTTGTTAGCTTACTGTTCCAGTGATGGAGAGAAGCAAAGCTATCCGGTTTATGCTTATATATGAGCTCCTCTGATTTGCTTCTGTAATGCTAGATACAACCTGCGCTCTTCACTGTACTATAACAGTGGCTGAGCTCTTACTTTTGTTTGTCACTTAAGTGTTTTATTTCTTAAAAGTCTTTCAGAACTCAAATATGTTGTGTATGGCCCTGGGGAACAATTACAGTTTGAAGACGTATGTTTCAAAAATCAGATTACCGGTTCTGAATTCCTATGGTGCTTCTTTTTTTGTCAGTTGTTCTTGACTGGAGTCATGACATGCAGACCTCTCAAAATTCCTCCTTGTTGTGCCTAGGTGAGAGCTGGCATGGGGGTAGTTATCTTCTGTGCTGGATGATGATGCTACTTACCTTATGAGTGGAAATGCACTATAAAGAGACTGTGAGTGGGATGCCCGAAATCTTGTCCTCTCTTCTCTGTCAAGTGTGACTTTGGGTTACTACTTTCTGTGTTTATGATTTCACCTTCTGTTCAGGCTGTGTGTTTGGAGTGCAAACTATTTGGGGAAAATACTACATCTCCCATTGTGAACAGGCGCAGTGACCATTGCAACTGGGATCCTATTTTTGGTCAGGCTTATGAGTGCTCCTAAAATGCCCAACCGCTATTGATAAGAACAATCTGAAACTCCCACTGACTCTGAGACCAGGCATGCAGCCTCACACCCCCTGTAACCTCCTCAGCCGTGGAAATGCACTCACCATCCCTCTGGCTCCCTGTCCTCCAGGAAAATAGTTCACGCAAATGTCACTTACTGAACCACTGGGTGGCGGAAGTTCTTTGTACTTTCCACTTGATCATAAATGGTTGAGAGACGAATGTAAAAGAGCAGATATATTAGAAGAGGCCCGGTGTATTCTGTTAGAAAAAACTAGAAATGAAAAAGAAAATAGCTGTATCAGAGTAGGAAATTGTACCAATAAAGGCATGAGAAAAAAAAGTACCCCTATCCACAACACCTATTCATCCTTCAAATGTCATTTTGGCTTCATTCTGAGGACTTAAATGACACATAGGGTTTTCTTCTGCTCTCTCTTTAGCAAAGGAGTAAAATCCATGTAGGAAATGAGAGAGAGGATTCTGTGCAGAACATTAACCCAGTCAGGAAGGCTTCATGGAAGGTGGTCAAAATCACAGTCATCTCCTCTTTATACTTTTGGCTGTGCCATCAGATGCCTATTTGGAATCTAAATAACACTGAAAATTAAGGCCCAAAAGCTGAAGGCAGCTTGCTTTCTGCCAGTGTTTTCTGCAATTAAGTGATACATCAGTTAAAAGCCAACCAAGCATGACAGGCACAAACATAGCTTTGAATCCTCGTTGCTAGCAGAGTCATCTGGGACGGATCATTGCTTGAAATTTGGTGGTGGGTGGAAGAGCAGGACCTGCCTCCCTGGCGTGTGGCGCTTTGAGCCTTTGTTCAGTAACCAAGCGGGACTCCTCCCTCTGCAGGCATCAGCAGAAGTAGCCTGCAGTGGGTGGACTGGACAACTAAGTTACCCTGTAAAACAGAATGAAATAATTTCATCTCCCCACTGTCACCCCTGCTAGACACAGAGAGCCAAGAGGAGATATGGGGGCAGGGAGAGAAGGCAAAGTTATAGCACAGCCATGAGCCACACTCAGTTTTATGTTCTGGCTTTGGTTTGGTACAGCCTGTATTGCCTTTTGTCAGGGCACACTCTTAAGCTGCAAACAGCTGGAGGAAGTAAAATGTGGTTAGAGTGATGTGGGGTCTGGATTTGATCATCTGTCCCCACTGGAATGAATCTCAAAATAAAATGGAAATGGTGTAGTCCTACATGTTTATAAGGACCAGCAACTGGCAAATCATAACTCAAGTGCTTAGTATTGCTTAAGGGATAAAAATTCATAACTAATGGGCGATTTGGCTTTAAGGTGGCTATTTGCACTGCTATAGAATTGTAATGGATAAACACCTGTGGCTTAAGGAAGCAACACTGAATTTAGACTATTTTTCTCAAAAGTAGTATTTGGCAGGAACAACACCCAGTGAGCTGTTCTTCTAATCGCTCCTCAGAAGAGCTTTGAAATGGAAAGTTTTTCCTGCAGAAATATTCTGCAATTAGGTTTCCTTCATTTGGAACCCCCAGTACCATTTCTTTTCCTCTATTACAGGGGGAAACTTTTTGAAATTTCAGCCTTTCATAGCAGGACTGTCTCCAAAAGTAACAGACTTAAGTGTTCTCTACCAGGGAAATGTCAAATTTTCTTTTGTTCCACGTGACACCATCATTTCTGTGCTCCATTTAGACTCTGCATGATTCCAAGAGCGAGTGGGGATGTGTGTGTGTGTGTATGAAAACATTTAATCAAGGAGTGTCTAAGAGCGCACATTGTTGTGGGACACACCACAGCCAAGGGCTTATTAGAATTTTGTCCTAATAGCAGTTGTATGGGTCTATTCCTAACTGTGAGCCCACTGTGTTAGGCACTCTGCAAACACTGTAAGAGATGGCCTCCACTATTAAAACCTAACACACTACATAAATGGTAATATAGGAGACAGAGGTGCAGATAATATGGTCTGAGCAGGTCAGTGGAAGAGCTTGGAATGAGCTGCTTTCTTCAGTGTAGCTTTTCCTCTCAGCCACACTTTGCACCACAAAATACACCCGTAACTGCCAGCTTTTATCATGTTTGGCATGAGCATATTACAAAGCTGCCAAGAAAGGTTTGGCAGGACTTAGCACCGAGTTGTGGTTACTTGTCACTGCACCAAGCATTCCCCCCTCACCCCCTGGCTGATTTCAGATGCTGTAAGGAGAAGGAAAGCTTCAGAATTTAGTAAAAAACATCCAGTCTCTATTTAACAGCCAAAGCTACCAGACATGTTATACCTGAATCCCTGTGACTGGGTGAGAAGGTGGTTTTGATGTAGGAGGGGGGATGCAGAGCCTCCTGCCATCAGAGCAATTCAGCAAAGCAGCTGAGAGCACCAACAGCAGCTCTTGGGTTGGGGTTTGCGGAGATGAGCACCATCAGCACGCTCAGGGTGGTTTACAGGCCAGGGACAAGGTCCCATCTTATCTGTGTCAGTCACATCCAACACAAAGCGTTAATCTCCCATGTAGAGGCAGGCGGTCCAGGGTCAGCTGTGAGATTTGCAATCAAAGTAGGTATTGTCTGGCAGGCAGGACTGTATTTGCCTTTGTCATAACTGTGTCACACTGCTGGAACATAGTTAAGATCAGTAGCATTCTATTTTAGAGAATAAGGTTCAATTTGCTGTAGTGCTTTGGGGTTTTTTTTTTACATTTTGGGTGAGTTTCAGTCTGTTTTCCTCTGTTGCATCTCCCATGCTGCAACCTCTGGTCTCCTTCTCTGGCCTACTGATTTTAAATTTATCAGAAATGAAAACTGAGTTCCAGAAAGGCAGGCAGAGAAACTCCACTAAAAATCCCATGAGTTCATGCAGGTAGAAGGGAAAGTAGTCTTAAATTAACACAAAATTACAATTGATTCTAACCATTGGCAATCCAAGGCAAGCACCATTCTTTTACTATTGATTCTCAATGAATATATGCAATTAAGCCTACCTAGTACCTTCATGCTCATCCTATAGTTGACTAATTGCTGGGCTTGGGGAGTTATTAGATGTGTTAAGGATCAGTTCAACCTATCATTTTTACAGATCCTCAAAAAACCTACAAAGTTACTAAGATACTAGTTCATGCTGACGTATCATACAAAAATAATAATAAAATTTTAAACAAAATCCTAAAAATAGTAACATTGTATCCTGTAGTTTCTAGACAAAAGAAATACCATTTTGTAAAAAAACAAAAAAGTGATCATTTAAAACACAGAGTATTTTTCTTCTGCAGAAATATAAAAAAAAAATTCAATATTTAGAAGAAAATTCCTTTTTCTTTACCATTGTGTGGGCCTGCCTAGATCATTTTGATGTATTTGGTGCAGCCAAATATGGTGGTCCATAGTAAACACAAAGATCTTTTCCTGGAGGAGCATTACATCTCTATTACAACGCGCATAGCTCAACAGAATTTAACTGCTGAGCTCATCATTAACTCCCTGAAGAAGGAAAGCAGGACATTGTCCCTTTTTTCTACATCTATACATACTGTTTCATATCTTGCACAGTGTCTAGTTCTCTTACCTTCCTTCTCTCCTCTACAGTTTCTGGCATTATATACTCTATATACCTCTTACTCTCAGCAGCATAGAGAAAGTGCTGTTCTTAAATCAAACCTCTCCCAGGCATGAGCTCCATACAGGGTGCTAACCTCAAGCTTCTTTAACTATCTCAATTATCAGGTCCTTGGGGACCCGATTCAGTAATACCTAAACTGGAAACATCTACTACATAAACAAAAAAAATGGAGATCTGAAATATGTCAAAAGGGAGCTAATGTAGAAGTCTCCATCATTCAAGAAATGATGAGACAAATGGGAAAACAATACAGGACAGCTAATTTGCACACCAGCAAGTCATTTCATCTTGCATGAGCCAGATTGTACCTGGTTCTTTTATCTCTGTTCAGATGATCATGCCAGTAACACCTTGCTAAACTGAGTAACAACCAAGTCAGGAATTACAATCCCAGACCTTATGAGGCAGAGGGTATATTTAGGGAGATATGAATGCAGCAGAGGTGAAAGGAGCTCTTTAAAGTTATTTGAGGGAATATGAGGTGAATTTTCTGGCTGGTAGGGGCAGCTGGCATAGTGCCTGACACCATCCCAACAGGTCTACTACAGGGGATGGAAAGGATTTTGATGTGAGTTAGTAGTACCGTGTGTACTGGTTGGGAGAAGGCAGAAAAGGACAAAAGGAAGCTATAAACACGGGGGGTGGAGTGGAGGGAGTCTGAAAAAAGTCCATCAGAATCTTTATAAACGAACAGCCCACGGATTACCAATCTTCACATGAGGGCATCAGCTAATTCCTCTCTGTAATGTTTATGACATGCCCTTTCTGTAATACCACACAACACACCCTATCTTGTATCATGTTGCCTTTTGGCATAGTCTCACATTATCTCATTTATGACGAGCTGCAGAGCAGAGCTGAGGAAAGGCCATACAGCCTTTTCCATACTGATCCCTTCCTGCAGCTCTTTCCATGCCATGTAGGGGCAGTTTCCCAGTTCATCGGTGCTGGTCATGATGTCTTCTCTTCCTCTGCCAACGGTATGCCTGGGTTCCAACAGGGGAAGCGGAGGGTGTGGTATGAGGATAATACCTGCAGCCGGGACAATGACTTTGGGTCATTGCCCAAAGCTCTCAGCACAGCAAGAGATACAAAATAGCTCAAGTGTGGCCTGGGTAACTTTGATGCAAAAGCAGCTGCAGTATATAAATTATCTAATGGACAGAGCTTAGTTTCTCTGATAAATGTGAGACAAAGGCACTAGTTGCAGGTCTGAGCCAGGGTCAGACTGAGACAGTACGTACTGCATAAAGAGGAGGATCTACTGATATCAGGCAGGCCATTACTATGTGCGAGTGTACAGAGAGCAGCTGGGATTTCTGAGAAACAAGCAGCTGAAGCCCCCCAAGTCGCCAAATCACATTAAACTTAGCATCTAACTACCTCAGGCTCCTTTCACAATGCCAGCCCTAAGTACTCTTGAGCTAATGATCATTAAGACACATTATTAATTTCTGGACTAATTTCTACTTCATATGCTTTGCTACCTCATTAAAGGCCATATAGTCACCTGGGGATGATAATGGCATCATTTTAGCAGCATCTCTAAATTTTCACCTTTTTAAAATTTTTGTACTTTCATGTTTGCAAAAATCCGCAGCAGCAGTTTTGCATCAGGCAGTACAATTCTTAAAGGCTGCCTGAATATTCAATGACTTTTGTTTCAGTTCTCATGG